CTAAATCGCAACTCTCATGTGTTTGCCTCTTGACCTAGAACGTTCATGATGATTGGCGATGCCGATCTCGATTTTGGCGTTTGTTGGCAAGGCCAATAAACAGGGATGTGCAGGCGTGTGATATGTTGTGAAGAATTTCTTGTCAGGAGCCTTCACCCATCTTGAGGCGCGTTGGCAGATTTGCGGTCATTGCGGCCGCAGTTTTCGGATCGGACCCCTGCGGCTTAGTGTCTCTACGCTGCGCTGACAAAAATGTAAGGAGGTGCGGCGCGAGCCAATGGGATGGTTCTATGTTTGAAAACGTCATCACCAGGGTTGGCCAGGGTCGGCCAGCAGGGCTGGCCAGATTCTGGTGGCTTGGCAAGGGGTTGCTGGCTGGCCTGTCGCTTCAGTCAAACTTGGCGACCCCGCTTGCGCAACGTCACCGCAAGCTTCGGTACGAACCTGCATATCGACGCAATGTTGTCTTCGGTCGGGTCCTGCTCCGAGGCGGGGGGGTCTCTATCACCACCGCCTGGGAGATCGTTCTCCAGGGACCTCGGGAGGCGGTGAATTGCATATGTTCGGGCCCTGGAGGGGGGGACACATATATACATATATATATATCAGATAGCCAGATCCACAGAATGCCAGGCTCACCGAACGTCGATCCTCCAAGCGGTGGTTCTGGATACATCTCCGCCTCGCACCTTCGCGTGCTCCTCACCGTCCTCCTGTTCCTCTTCTTCGTCGTCCTCATTCTCCTCCTCTCGCTCCTTCTCCACCTTTCCCCCCCCCACCAAGCTATCTTGGATCCGCCGCTCTAGCTTCTGGGCCGTTTCCTCGCTCCCCCCTCCTCTTTCAAGGCAGGATGGTGCTGCGTGCGGGCGGCTTGGTCTCCCCTTGCAGCCGTCCCGCTGGCGGCCAGTGAAGGCCGTCCTTCCAGCGACAGCCACCGGTAGGCGTTCTCTTCGCACCCGGCAGCCCGTCCCCAAGACTGCCGCAAGCCCGGATGTGTGGTTCGCATCCGTTCTTGCCTTGTCTGTCTTGTCCACGCCATCCACATAGCCGCGCGGCTTGCCCCGCGCAGCTGACCGCGGCGGTGGTGGTGAAGGCGGTGGGGCTGATTGCTCCAGACGTCGCGGTTTGCGCTTGTGCCTGGCACGCCCTCTTTCGGACCCCTCGGGTGGCCCTGGCCTGGCCCCAGGACCGTCAGAAACGACTCGGCACGAAGAGCCCGTCCCTCGGAAGGTGTCCAGACCCAAGGGGGCCCAGTGAAGAAATCACGATGTCGGGTCCCTGGGCTCCGCGCCTTCGTGTTCCTCCAGGGGGGGGGGAGGGAATTCCAGGCCGCCCAGACCAGACGGGTCCCGAGCAGATGGGTCTCCGGTGCATCGGCGGTGCGGCGCGGGCAGGAGCCCGACTTCCTCCTCCCGGGCATTGCCGACGCATCGCCGATGCATGCGTGATGCGGTGTGAACCGCCGACCCCATCTGAACCAGCCCGGCTGGGGAGCCGGGGAGGCCTCCTAGGGAAATAGAAGCCTCCTGGAACTCGTCGCCCTCCCCCTCCTCCTGGTTGTCGGTTTGGGCCGAAACGTCGTGACGCATGACTGGCCACCGGTACGCCTCTTGATGCTGAGGATTGGCTTCGCTGGTAGCAGAAACCTGGAATGGAGGGCGGTATGCAGGTTGAACCGATCGTTCGGTAGGAGTGGAGGGCTGAGGGAGGGGGCGAGACTTGTGAGTGTGAGTTCGGCGACCCTGAGCTCACTCTCTTGGATAAGCAGAACCTCCAGGGCCTTCGATCCTACCTTCGGGACGCGCCCAAGAGGCATTTGGTCCCAGACCGTACGGCTCTCCTAAGACTTTGGCATATGTGTCCTTTTCCAACATGGAGAATGCAGCAGAAGTTATCAGTGGGCGCCAGCGAGGACACCCCTGATAACAATATTGTGTCTTCTCTTGCACGCTCAGAAAACCAGATCTCACTCCCTTGCATTGGCATCGTCCACAGGCTGTGGCGCTCCCAAAGTCTTTGTGGTTGGGCCTTTCGCGTAAACGTGTCGCGCATGTGCTTCCAGCGGTGCGGAAAGAGTATTATTCGAAGAAGCTGACTCCATGTCCCACGGTTGAGGACCATGGGTTTGTGCGGGGGCGTCGAACAGATAATGTTGTACTCATATCCAATAGCACTATATGGCGATGACGTGCGGCTTCTAGATCCCCATGGTGCTCGTATGAAAGATGTGCCGAATACGCTTGCGAGCAGTATTCGCGAGTTCATGGATATTACTGTAGGAATACATTGTGCAGACCACGATGCTGAAATTTGTCGTCAGCGTTATCGCACTCGGTGATCGAGCTTCCGACGTGCGGTGACCGGTGTGTGGTGCAGCTTCGGCAACGAGGCACGATGGGTGATTTTTACACCATCGCCATGTTTTTGATAGCCACCTTCGCGAGGCCGATCTTGGGATGGGGACGGTGACTCTGGAGTTGGGACCCGTGCGCACAAGGTCTCATCGCACAATGGGGAGACATCAGGGGGGACCTCTCGCTGATTAAGTACGCTGGCGATTTGAATAAGGTTATGATAGCCGGTTGTTGGTTCTACCTTGGGTAAGTTTATTGGAATGATCAGAATATCAGATGAGAATTGAATTTCCAGATGAGACTGTAAACGGAAAGTTTGGCCTCTTTGGTTTCGGCCAGACGATGAAAGAACAACAGTTCTTTCTCCACTTCTCGAGCCGCTTCCACACGCAAGCGGATTATCAGAGATAACCCGCTTCTTGTAGAGTGCGCCCCCAAGGATGAGGCTCGATATCTGGGCCCGTTCCGTGTGCAGTGTGAGACGGCTACTCACGCGATCGGGGAGCGACGTATCGCCGCCAGGAATACGTTTCATCGTTCAGGTGGCGTTTGGTCGTTAGTTCTGCCGCATGAATAGAAGCGAGTGGCCACTCGGCCGATTGGTCTGTCGTCTAACTGATGGTTGGCAGACAATTCGTTGATTTGGCCTGTTTGTCGACTGCCTGGTTGCGCGCGTCTGTAGCTTCTAATCAGGGTGAGGGGGCCGAGCGGTCATTCGCTGTCCCTGGGCGCGTTGCTGAAACGCAGTTCTGCGGTGCGGATGGTTGTTGTTATTTGCTGTCGTCGTCCCCGCCGCGACCCGCCCGCGACCCGCCCGAGACCTACCCGCGACCCGCCAGCGACCCACCTGTGACCCGCCCCGCGACCCAACCGAGCTCCGCCCGCGACCCACCTCGCGACCCGCCCGCGACCCGCCCGCGACCCGCCCGCGACCCACCCGCGATTCGGCCCGCGACCCACCCGCGACCCACCCATATAAATATAACGAACAAATCGGCGCCTGCAGTGGCTTCACTGCGTAATGTGTAAAAGTTAGGCGCTTGCGGCGGGCTTTTTTTTCAGAACCTCGCAGAATGCCGACGTGGTGGCCGCCCCAATCACTCTTCTCCGCAACTGCGGGGGGCTATGTATGATCAGTCAGAAATGATGGCTTCGAGGGCGCGCTTCCGTTGTAAGTTGCAAGGGCTCGCGTCTTCGGGAGCGCACACCCTAGCTTCTAGCATGTTTGCGTGTTTCGTGGCCTCGGTCACCGAGCCGAAATCGTAGGAAACGACAGGGGAGTAGGAAGGAACGACAACATGTTTGGTGAGTTTGAGGATGGGTTGCGTTTTGGTGAAGTTTCTGTGTGGCGGATTCTTGGCTTCGGGAACGCGTAGTATAATTAATGTGCAAAGGAGCCTGGTCTCAGGACCGCGAGTATGTGGTGTGTCCCAAGTGATATGTAACATATTTAAGTTGACTGGGGCTTCGGGGGCGCGAGCCTACCGTGATTCATAATGGACTGATGCCTAGGGAGTGCCAACGCGCAGTGAATTGTTAGCGGTCTGTTTTTTTACAAGTTCGTATGGCGTTGGGGAACATTTGTGTAATTCACTTGGGAGTGTGGCCTGGGAGGGCGCGAGCCTGGCGTGACTTACGAGAGGCTCTGGCCTCAGAAACGCCAGCGCGTAGTAAGTTACAAAGGAATGTGGTTTGGTGTCGTCGACGCGTCGCAAGTTGCAATGTAGTATTGCCTCGGGAACCCGAGCCTTCAGTAATTGTCGAGGGTGTGTGCCGTAGGAAGCACGAGCCTGTTGTACTTGACTAAGGATTGTGGCTTCGGCAGCGCGAGCCAGTGGTAATGTTCGAAGGGTTGCGGCTTCGGGAGTGTGAACATGTAGGTGTTCCAGGGCGTCCTCCCTATATAGTTAGCGACCGCGTTTCGGGTCCCCCGCCAATCGCACGGTCTTCAATCATCACAACCGTTGAACTAAAAACTAGACCCGTATCTACAATTTGGGGATTGGAGCTAGCACGGGGAACTGGAACATTTCCGCCTCGCGGCCTGTTGGCCCCGAAGGGGGCCAGCGGATTCTCATTATCCTCGTTTCTTCCTTCTGCTGTGTAGAGGCTCTGACCGCGTAGGGGGGAGCGCGGCGAGGCGTGGGCGGGGGAGGGGGAGACCTTCGACAAGCGAGAGCCAGCAGCAAGAGCACTGATGCTTGCTAGGGCTGTCTCCCGTGCGCTTGTATCGTCCCTCGTTTGGGGTTGCGTGTCCCGGAGGCTACGACAGGCCAGTGCCTCGATCGAGGAGTGCAGGCAGTTGGTTTTATTTGGTCAAGTTTCCGTGAGGGCCGTAGACGCCCCTTCCCGGAATCTCTGACCGTAATGCTGCTCAGTCTGACTGATACGGATTCCATGGGCTCGTCTCGTCTTGTCTCGTCTCCCTTGTTTCTTCCCTCTCCCCTTATTTATTCAATTGTTGTTGTTTTTTCCTCCCTTCTTGGGGCTACGGCCTCCACGCCTTGCCCTAAAGAACGCGGGCGAGCTCCACAGTGGAGCACGCACGATTCAGGCGTTTGCTTCGCTTTTCTTCGCTTCCCTTCTTCTTCCAACTTTCCTTTCTTCTTCTCCCTGCACTGATCCCCCCTCTCCCCCCCTCTTGAGGCCGAGCAGCGACCGCCGCCGGAGCTCGCGGCGGAGCCCGGCGACGAGGAGTTGGGCCTGCTGGGCAGCTGCCTTCTGCAGGCGTGCCCCCGAATGCGTCTACAGCAGACGCATACCATACGGTGGGGGCGTTCGTTAAGCAATGTTCCCAGGAGGCTTCAGACCCCAGAGGATTCCTTATCTGATGGGGGCGGCAGTGATACCCATGGGCACGCTGTTCCACCAGCTTCCAGACCCTGGGTTCCTTATCTGAGTCTCTTTATCAATGCCCTCAACGGAGTAAATATTGTTACCATGGCCCCCGCAATTGCGGATGAGAGTGGGGGGGGCGGGGACGCGGTCGTCGGCAGTCTACAAGGCTAGCCTGCCACAGGCGCCGGTTTTCTACACTGCAGAACGGGCCCGTCGCAGGCGCAGATTTTTCGTCAAAGCAAGATGGGTGGGTCGCGGATGGGTCGTCGCGGGCGGGTCGCAGGTGGGTCGCAGGTGGGTCGCGGGCGGGTCGCGGGCGAGGACGACAACAACAAAACAGCACCAAGACGACAACAACAACAATGACAATAACAACAACAACAACAACAACAATTACTAGCACGTGGGGACACTCCGTTCTCACCAGTGCCAGGGTTTTCATAGGAGGCGGGCAATACCCCCACTTTGTGGGGGGGCCGGTTCAAGCTCTACCAAATTTCCAAACGACTCTTCGCCACCACCCACACCCAGCTTCCCGCCCTATGACGTTCGGACACTTCACTTCGTGGCATGCGGACGACCGTGGCTACTATTCAGGGCCCCGCGGCCGACGACGACGGCGTGCGCGCGCGAAGAAAAAACGAATGTGTCCCGCATGGTATTATTTGACAGGGATGATGGCCCTGGCAGGTGCGCAACCGTTGTCGCAGAAGTTCGAAAAAGTTGCTCGCAAAAGCCCGTTTGACAGAAATGTTTAAAAAGTGTTGGGTTTCCTACGAATCCGCAAGAGCGCGCGGGATGAGATTTTGACAATTTTTTGTTGAAAAACCATTGGTTTTTTGATGTTTTTATGTTAAAATCGCTGCGAACACTAAGGTTTTGGAAGGATTTCGTCTTGCGCGCGCGAATGTCCACTTTACCTTATTTTTTGCAAGGGATTCTTGAAATTTGATTATATTAGAACAAGAAATGTCATTTTCTATTGTTTTTTGCAAGGGAAAGCGGATTACAACAAAACAACCGGATCCTGTACACACCCTCTTTTCTGAGGCTTCCTCACGCAAATGATGAAAATGTAGCTGCGGCCTAGGCGGCGCAGGGGGGGCGCGCACCAGGGGGCCCAACAATAATTATTCTTTAGAATAAATAATGTTCAACAACACCAACAACAACACCAACAACAACAACACCAACAACAACAACACCACCAACAACAACAACAGCAGCAACAACACCAGCAGCAACAACAACAACGCCAACACCAACACACATAACAATAATATTATTAATAATATTATTAATAATACTAGCAGTAACAAGAACACGAACAATAGCAACAACACTAATGATACGAATGACCTCAGGACCCCGAGACATTCCTGAATCAGGATGCAGCGCGCGTCCTAACTTTGGATTTTCTTGGGGTCCAGGCGGGGCTCTCCCGAGGTCCTCTTGTGGGCCTCACGGGGCCCACTTGGGGCTCCCTTGAGCCCTCAGGCAGGCTTCCAGAAATTGTTGGCGCTCCGCGTATCCCCACCAGCCCGTCCAAAAAATCACCAGGCGACTTGCCCTGATCATCAAGAGGAGCGATGAGGGTGAAGGGGTGAGCCAGGAGGGAGGGGTGATATACAATAGCAGTTGAATACGAGAGTGGTCATGGACAGCAGTGTTCATATACGCAAGTGGTCGTGCACAAGAGGCCCTCTTGGGTATCTCTTGGGCCCCCTTGGGGCCCTCGTGGGGCTCGCTGAGGGCCGTCTCGAGGCCCTCTAGGGGCCCTCTTGGAGCATTGCCCAGGCCCTCCAGGGCCTTCCAGTGCGATCCGGAGGGCTTCAAGCGGGCTCAAGACGGTTTCAAGAGAGCTTCAAAGTTTGTCAATATATTTGAAATTTTGAGGCCCTCCTGAGGCTCTCTTGGAGCCCTCTTGAGGCCCTCCGAGATTGCATTGGAAGGCCTGGAGGGCCCCGAGAGGGCCCCCCCGAGGGCCCCCGACCAGGAAACCTCCGGGGGGGGGTCGTCACGGTAGCCTCCGGTTTGTGCGCCCCCTCGTCACGGAAGCCTCCGGTTTAGGTTGCGCCCGGGCCCCCCCCGAGCTCGTCACGGAAGCCTCCGGGGGTCGTCACGGAAGCCTCCGGTTTGGGGCGCGCCCAAATGATACCCTACCGTGACGAGCTCCGAGTCCGCACTTTCGAAATTTTCATTCGGGGATCCGCCCCGGGCGAGCCCCAAAAGACAGTCGCGCGGCCCCCGCAAGCCGCGCGAGTGCAGTTTGGGCCTCGCTGGGGGGCGGAGGGCAAGGTTTTGTCGCAGGTGCCGCGGGAGTCCAGGCCGGCTGGTCTTTCCCGATCTTCTCCCCGTTACTCCGCCGCCATCCTCTCCTCCTTCCTTACTCCTTCGTGTCTCTCCCTCCCTCGCCGTCCCCTCGCCACTCTTCCCTTGCTCTTCACTTTGGCTTCTCGCCATCTCCCTCTTTCCATTCTGTCCACTTCTCCGCTGTCCTCACAACATCCCCACCTTCTCTGTCTCTCCTCCTTGCCCTCTTTTCCTCCCCCCGCTTTCCTTGCTTTTCCTCGCCCCCTCCCTCCCTAGTGCCCCTTCCCTCCCAGCCCTCCCCCCTCGCATTAGCTCCCCTCGCCCGCAGCGCCCTTGCCCTCGTTTCTTCCTCTCTTTCCCTGCCTCCGACATTCCTTCCCTCCCCCGCTCCCCCCGTATCTCTCCTACCTCCTCTGGCTCCTCTCCACCCCCCCCTCCCTGTGCGCGTCTTTCGCCCTGTCTCCCTTCCCCCCCTTCTCTCCCCTCCCCCCTCCCCCCTCCCTCCCCCCTCCCTCCCTTAGTTCCCTCGCCTGGCGACGCGCTGCACAATGCGCTCCGCCGAGAGGGCGAGCTGGGCCAGGGGTCGAGGAGGAGGGGGGCGGAGGAGGGGGAAGTTGAGAGAGGGTGGGGAGGGGGAGGACGAACGGGGGCGGCAGGGGAGGGAAGGATATATAAAATATGTGGACGGGATATCAGGCGGAAATGGAGGGATGGGGTTACACGTGCGGTTTGTGCGGCATGTGCTGGCATGTTGCACCCAGGCATACTATTGGTTCCCAGTATTTGCAACTCATTGCCTCAATATGTGCAACGTACTGCGTTGCGTCTGTGGGGATGCGTGGCCAATGCCTTGAAACGTCCGCAGTCTTTCATGGGGCGCGTGAGCCTGGTCGTGCAGCACGTGCGTACTCATGCGCCTGGCTCGGCACCGGAGCCATACTTGCCAACGCAGACATGGGCGTTCTGTGATAGAGCCAAGTGTGGATCCTATGATATGTCTGTTTGTGCACTTTCGAGGCTCCTGATATGTAGCGGGCACGCGTTGTCAAAACCCCTCCACAGGAGGACCGTCTCTTTGGGCCATCATTGGCTCGATTCGCCATCCCTGCAGGCGTATGCGTACGTCAGGGTGGGTGACGTTTCACTTGCTCGTCCATATACAAAAGGCGTGGTGCTCCTTTGTCAAATTCCCGAAGTAGCGAAACGATTTATTTGTAATTCTGGTGTCGTGAGTGTGCCGATCACTTTTGAGAAATCGTTCAAGGTTTGCCAGGTATGTTGTAAGACTGTTCAAACCCTGGCGGTCGTACTTCACCGCGCGCAAAGCATGCGACTGCTTCGTTGGGATATGTTCGTTTTGGGGGTGGTTGCGTTTTTTCCTAGCCGCCCAGGTTCAGTGCGCGTTTCGGCTCACCGACATCACGTGCGCACCTTGGAGCTCTGATTCGCATTAAGAGAGAGTTGCGCTACGCATCGCAGGGCCGAGGCATGATATTTTGAATGATAAGCGCCCGTGCCAGCGCAGACGCGTCGCTCTGGCCGGCCACCGTTGGTCACGCCATTCGAAGGCAGCGCGTGGATTTCATGCGCCGTTGACGTTCCCCGATGACTGTCCTTGGGCCGTGCTCCTTATTTTGCGTCGTTCTTTCTGCCGGCCCGTCGTCGCGACTTCTGCCCGCGCTGGTGCTTTCGTTTATGTTCGTCCCCGAAGCGCTTGACTGGTGCAGTGGTTTCCAAAACGTCTCGATTTAGTTGTCTCTCCGCGTGCCCCTGGGGCCGCGACCCGGTCTTGCGAGAGCGACGCTCTCAGGAAGGATCTCATTCGCTCCCTGTGTTTGCGCACTTCCGCCTTCTTTGAAAAAAAGGGTATGGTTTGGTAGGGAACGGTTTGGCCGCGCCCGAATCGGCCGAAACCCTCGAAACCTTCCGCCATGATGCCGTCACGACGAGAGCCTGTTTGGGTGGAGGAGGAGGAGGAGGAGGAGGAGGAGGAGGAGGAGGAGGAGGAGGAGGAGGAGGAGGAGGAGGAGGAGGCAGCGCCAGCACAGGGCCTATTTCGATCCGATGGTCACGTCGATCTGGCTCGATTCTGACATTATCAAGATCCGATGCGGCCCGATGCTTGCCTGGCGCTGTCGTCCATCTTGGCGAAGCCGATCCGACTCGATTCCAACTCCGTGCCGATGCAGCCCGATCCGACGCATTTTCTGATGTGATCCGGTTTCCCGATTCGATGTTGTCTGATCTTTGTTCTTCGTCAGCGCCGTTACCCGTCGTCCGTTGAAAGTTTGTATGTTTGGACACCCAGGTCCCAGTCTACTTTAGCCCCCTTACTATTTCATTCATCGAACGGTTTCACCTTTCCCCTCCTCTTCAGGGGGCGGGCACACGCCCAATCTATTGCCAACGCCTTTAAACTTCATGGTTCTACCCATTTCTTCTGACCGACGGTTCCCTTATCCCCAATCCCTACTGGGATAGCTTTGGCCCAGACGTCCGACCTACCCCCCAGTGGGGCATACAGGCTGTCGCTTCCGGGTCTCGTGGAGTCTGTCTCCACCTTGGGGGGTAGGCTGGCAGCGCTGAGGTGCCCTGGCCCAGTGGGGACGGGGATCGGGAACCTATGCTGACCAACATCTGGCGGATCGACAAACATGAGGGCGGTCAGTGTTTCATCGTCTTGGGCCCCGGGAAGGCTGGTTTCGGGCCCTGGGGTCGTGAGGAAATTGCTTCCGATTCGATCGGGTTCCCCGATGCGATGCTTGCCTGGCGCTGTCGTCCATCCTGGCGAAGCCGATCCGACTCGATTCCGACTCCGCGCCGACCCTGAGATCCGACGTCGTGCAAAGACGCACCATCGTGGAAACTCACGGGCAGAGCCCCAAGCCACATCCTCCTCTGCTGCATTTTTCGAGTCGGATCGACCTGTGAGGGTCACGGGGCGCGAAGCCTGGCGAGCACGCCCAGTGCAACAAAGATTGCAATGCCCAGAGCTGTGCCGATGCAGCCCGAGGCGACGCACAGTTTGGATCCGATCAGGTTTCCCGATGCGGTGCGGACCGATCCTGCCAGTGCGGTGGCAGCCGTGGGAGGTTATACCCTCGGGGACCTTCTGGTTAGGGGTGTGTTTTTTTGGCCCGCGGGGGGTCTCGTGGTCTTGAAGGATGGCCTTCTGTCCTATGGGTCCGGTCGTACGGCCGCCGCCCGTGAGCTCCGCGGCGGCCGCCCGCGACAGGCGCCCGCGCTCGCCGCGCAGCGGGCGCCTGCTGCTCCCCCGGGCGCGGCGCCCCGGGGCGCGCCCGCCGAGGCCGGGGCCGGGCGGGGCCCACGGTCCAGCCAGCGCACTTTGGATGGCCACGGAGGTTGCCGAGGGTGGTCTCACGGGCGGCGGGCATATATCCGCATCCGGGTTCCGGGGCGCCCCCGTACTTCCTTCGCTGGAGTGACCACTCGGCGCAAAGAGGGCCTGGTGGGGTCCTCGGTCATCGGTCGGAGCGGCGGATTCGTCGTCGACGTCGGCGTCGGCGTCAGCATCGGCCACTGCGGCGATGGCGCCAGCGGCAACGGAAAAGGAGCAGGAGGAGGAGGAGGAGGAGGAGGAGGAGGAGGACGGAGGAGGAGGAGGAGGAGGAGGAGAGGAGGAGGAGGAGGAGAGGAGCAGAGGAGAGAAGGAGAAGGAGGAGGAAGGAGGAGGAGGAGGAGGAGGAAGAGGAGAGGGAGGAGGAGGAGGAGGGAGGAGGAGAGGGAGGGGAGAGGAGGAGGTGGAGGGGGAGGACGGGGATGGGGAGGAGGTGGAGGGGGAGGAGGGGAGGAGGAAACGGAGGAGGAGGAGCAGGAGGGGGAGGAGGAGGGGAGGAGGAGGAGGGGGAGGAGGAGGAGGAGGAGGAGGAGGAGGAGGAGGAGGAGGAGGGGGAGGACGAGAGTAAACCCAGGATGTGTCATCGATGGTTCACCACGCCCTCCCGTCCCAATTCCCCTCTCCACAAGCCCCTATGCCTAGAAGTACTCCTCTCCACTGCGGGAATTGCCGCCGCCCCCCCTCCCCCTGAATGACGAGCGCGGGGTGGGCCTGCCACTGAGGCAAGGACTCTACCATCCAATTTTCTAGCTGGCCAAAACGCAAAGATGTAGGGCACGACAGTTCAAGGAAGAGCCCCACGGTAGCCCCGTTTTGGAATTGATATGGTTTTCGCCTACAAATGCAAAGTTCTGGCCATAATGTGCAGAGGTGTCAAGCGAGATGCCCATTATGACAGGGAAAACCCTCCACGCGATCCATCCGTGTAACTGTTGCGAGAGTTTGGGCGTCGGGCCATAGATTGCGAACAAAAATCTGCGAAAACAGAATTTGGAAACCGAGCCAGCCTAGGTCCTTGTAGCTGTTGCAAGTGTTTAGGACGAATGTGAGCTGCGCTCAGGCAGGAACCCCATTTTGAACGCCTGGCCCTCCATCCTTGTTGCTGTTGTGAGCGTTTAAGTCGAATGTGCGTGGCGCTATGGTGAGAGCCCCACTTTGAAAACAACCCGCCATCAATCCTTGTTTCGGTTGTACTTCTCAAAGACGAAGGCACGTGGCACCAAAGGCGAAAGCCACATTGTGAAACCTGGCTTAGCTGTTGGAGCTTAAGTTCTTTCTCAGGGTAGTAAGTTGTAAGGAGGTCTCAAGCAAAATCTTCGGCCCAGTCTACTGCGGACCTGTCTGATGGTGCGCAGAGGGAGTTAATCACGAAGGGATGGATGATGAGGAGGAGGTGGATAAGGAGGAGAAGGAGGAGGAGGAGGAGAAACTAGGAGGATAACCCCATGCCCACGATAATAATGTACCCCCCTTAAGTCGTTAGAGTTTTTTTTCGTCGGCCTAGAAGGGTTTCAGGGCGGAGGGCGCGGAGGCCGAACTTCATTATCACTGGGAAAGTTCGCCATCGAGGTTACTTCCTTCTTTTGTTGAGATAACAACATCAAGCGAAGCGAACACGTTTTTTTCATGATGTCTCAAGCGAAACCAGTGTCCTTCTGTCTCTTTGTAGTTCTTTCGTTCGTTCCTTCTTTCTCTGTCTCTCTCTCTCTCTCTGTCTCTCTATCTCTTTCTCCTCCTTCTCCTCCCTCTGGCGCCCTGAACTTGTTTATCGCTGGGGTTGATTATCCTGGGAAAACGAGGCACGTGAGCTACCCTACACGAGCAGATGAAAAGTTCAATTTCCATTAAGCGTTTACAACTTAAGTATAATAAGTTTTAAACTTTGGATTGTTGCTATCTCCTTCTCCTCTCCCCCTCTTGCTCTTTCTCCTCCTCCTCCTCTTCCTCCTCTACCTCCTCTTCTCTTTCTATATTTCTATGTATCTATATATCTTTCTTTTCCTCCCCCTGCCCCCCTGAACTTGTTTATCGCTGTGGTTGAACTTGTTTATCCTGGCGCGCGCGCACATCCGAGCTTCAGTTCTGCATTATAGAAATATTAAAAGCCGACATGTTCCTTCAGGATGCTTCAGAGAGGACCAACAGCTAAGGATGTCTCAAGATATCCTCGGCTTTGGCTCCTCTGTTGAATGCTGGCCTCTGGTGGGCAACTTTTATTATCACCCCGTAACCGCCGAACTTTATTATCCCTGGGGGTTTATTCTCGGGGGCATGGGGTTAGGGAGGGTGAAGGAGGAGGAGGAGGAGGAGGAGGAGGAGGAGGGAGAGGCGGAGAAGTAGGAACAGTTTCGGGGATCTGGAGTTTGGTTTTCGTAGCCGCAGAAGACCAGGGTACGCTTTTCCTGGCCCAGCCGTGCCTCTAAAGTGTGGTGGAGACGCTGCTGATTGTCCCAATGTATACATATTTTGTTACCGGTCGCTGGCTGAAGGTTTTGTGAGATCCCAGACAGGCGTTTTTTTTTCTGTTCCAGTACAGGGCCCCCGGAAGTCCCGACCCTTTCCTCCGGGAGAGCTTCTCATCCCGAGTCGTTCTTTGACGGTCCTGGGGCCTGGCAAGGGCTCCCCGAGGAAGCAAACGGCGACAAATCCACGTCTTGATCTTTTTACGACGTTGGAGGTCCGGGCTCCGCGGGATGGCTTTCCAGCGGGCGTCCGGGACTCTGGGCACTCCTGGGAACGCGCTCGGCGGAGCGGAGCTGCTGGGAGGCACCCCGAGGTTGGGAACCCGCTGGGGACCGACGAAAGCGTGGTAGAGCCTCGGGCCTCGAACTTCGAGCCTGCCGACGAGAGAGTTCGGAGGTCTTTCTCCTGGCCCCAAGCCAAGCCCGGTTGCCCGCGGTTGCTTTCCTTTATTCCCTCCTCTTTCCCCATTCCTCCTCCCTCGCCTGCCGCCCCTGCTTCTTGCCTGCTGTGCCCCCTGTCCCTTCCGGCCTCCTGCCTGCATCGTCCCTGTGGCCTTTTTATTCTGGGTGTTCGGTCGTCATCCGCTTGCTCCTCCCTCCTGTCTCCTTCTAGGCCGGACAACACAAACTGCAGTGAACTTCAGCAGCGTGGTCCCCGTCCGCCTAGCAGGGGAGGGATTGGACCAGAAGCCTGGTTATTTCCTTCGATGAATAGAACAGAAGAGTCCCACATGGGGGACGGGAAGCCCGAGAACGCCCGGTCTGGCAGCTGGTTCGCTTGAGATGTCCATCCACTTTATTCACAAACCGTGCTCTCGCCTCAATGCCGGCTACAGTTTTGGTCCGGACGGCGACGATCCTGTGCGAAAAGATCAAGTAAGGTGCGCATGGCGGTGCTCTCACCCTTGCTTGGATTGCATTTCTTTTCTGAGAGATTCCCGGCCGTGCTTCTCCTACTCCTCGACCTGCTGTTTTTTTTTCACCTGTGCTGCTATCAGGGTGCTCTGCATGGGTTAATGAGGCCTGCTACCGTGCAGTATCTTTTAACATGGCTTAATTTTTGGCTTAATCCGGCCTGCTCTTCATGGCTCCCTAAATGGGAGTTCGAAATTCGCCTCTACCCGGTTTTGCGAACTCCGACGTTTATCCGACGTGAATCCGCAGTAAATTGGGTTTCAAGTTGCCGCGCGCGACCTTCAGGAGATCCCTCCCAATATTTGGGCTTCTGTGCTGGGTTTGTTGCTCATAGCATGTTCCTCATTCTTCCCCAAGCAGTGATTGCATTTATGGTTCTCACTCCGGCTCTAAGGAGCTGGGCCTGTCAGCCGCTCTGGCGGCTACTTTGCCGCCGTCGCCGCCCCGTCGCCGCCTCGTCGCCGCCCGTCGTCTGGGCCTGTCTGCCGGTTTGGCGGCTATGTTGCCGCCGTCGCCGCCTCGTCGCCGCCCGTCGTCTGGGCCTGTCTGCTGCTCTGGCGGTTATGTTTCTGCCTTCGCCGTCCCGTCGCCGCCCGTCTTTAGGGCGCGTCTGCCGTTCTGGCGGTTATGTCGCCGCTGTCGCCGGCCCGTCGCCGCCTAGATTGTTTTTTTCTGAAACAGGAATTTGGATCCACCTCACCCCCCAGGCTTAATGGGTGGTGTTTTTGTAATGTTCTTTCGCGCGTGATTCTGCACATTCTTATCCAAAATATGAATTCGTATCATTCCGGGCAGTCTGGTGATCGTGGTCGCCCCCCCTCATCCCTGTCAAATAATACTATGGGCGCGCACTCGTTTATCAAACATCCGTACTTTTCAAGAACCCCATGCAAAGAAAGGACGAAGTGCGCACGCGCGCGTCGTTGCGCGCGCACGCCATAATATTTCAAACAAGCCTTAGGATTCGTAGGGATTTCAAAATCGAGTGTTCCCAGCGGTCAGCGCCACCGCGACCGCGTCCGTCGCGTCGGAGTAGCTGGCCGCCGTGCGCACGAGCCTGCGCGCGCTAGCGCGGCCGCAGCGATGCGCCAGCCAGCGCCGAACAGTCACCGCACCTTCCCCCACATGGGTTTTGCAAACCAAGGGGCAGGTGGGTGTGTGGGATGCTTGCGCGAGTAGTGGAGCTCACAATTCACTGCGAACGCTTGTTCCCCTTCTGAAAAAGAATAGAGTCTCGCCCCCCTCCCCCCGTCTTATCGGCATTGCTTGTCGTATCGCAATGTACGTATGCTGTTGCCCCATCGTGCATCCTAAGTGTGAGTTCGTATCTTCCCAGGCCATCGGTATCGCCCCCTTGAAAGTTCTTTGTCTAACAGTACTATGCGCGCGAACTCGTTTATAACAAATCATCAGTTGCCAAGAACCCCATGCAAAACGATTGGACGAAGTGCGCGCGCGCGTCGTCGCGCACGCATGCCGAATAATCTCAAAACCTTCGGTTTCACAGCAATTTCAAAATCGATTGTCTCGATAACATGTTCGGGGGTTTCGTAACGAGGGTTTTCAAGAAAA